TAAACTCCGAAAACTAGTCAAACTGTCTTACCATTTGTTTTGCGTTTAGATTCCATGAAGGGACGGAGGTCGCAGCACTTTAGACTAAATCAAGAGGTTTCATTCGCTTCAGTTTTGTTGTCCAAACCCTCTCCCCTATAAGTTTGCTTGACATTATCCCATAACAGCAAGCCATACGTTCGTATAGGCCATATCATCTTGTTATATATCAACACCTTATTGTATTTCGTCAATTCAGACCTACGACTTAGGAGCCAATAGTCATCTGAGCTTGACATGCAATGTTCCACCTAGGTATTTCTGGTTTGATACTTTAACGCCATTTATATTCAATTGTGGTGGGTTTACTAAATGTTTTTTGTGAAATCTAAATGTACAGATTTACTTTCATTTAGTTTTATTTGTTAGCGCCTTTTAAAACATTGGTTATTCTATGTACTTGGTCAATTGTTGCATGCTTTGTTCTAAAACGAAACTTATGGTTTGGAATCAGTTTCATATCGGCATCAGCCTTCCTTGTCAACATTAAATTTTCAAAATGTTTTGATATCTTTGGTAGCAGCGATATCAGTCAATACGATTTTGTTTCATTGAAGGTTTTCTTATCATAAGAACTGCCACTATTTTCCAAGCACTAGGAACATACTTGCATTTATAACTTTTTCAAGCACTAGGATTCACTTCTGCATTTATAACTTTTTTAAAAGGTCAATAGCAAATTTCTTTTTATGTAAATAGAGCCTTCTTTTAGACAAACACTGGAATTCAGCTCATTTGATTGAATAATCCCTTCCAAGTGATCAGCAAATAGTTCAGCTTTATCCCTTTTGCTTACTGTTTTTTTAGTGGGAGGATTCTCTTTATCGGTTTCTTAGTACTTTTCGCTGCTTTTTTGTTGTCGATAAGCTCTTTATATAATTCTCGTATGATAAAATTTTACACTTTTTTCTTGAGTGTTTTAGAAGTCTAACCATTCTTTTTTGTACTTTAAATCAGTTCAGATCTTTCCTGATGTAACGGTATTCTTTAGATGATTTTCTTTAACCTTCTATGATTATTTTTCTAACTTCTCGAACATTCAGTCAAGCCCTCGTCGAGAACCGTGATCTCTCACTTTGGCAGATATCTACACTGCATTTATATTCGTAATATTGTACATTTCACATTCAGTTATAAGGTATATGACTTTTACCCAGACAGGTTTTTTTACTGCCGTTCCTCTGGGATACATTAATAAAAGTAATTTAAATAATGGAGGAGACTGTTATTAACAGCAGTAATTTCACCTGTTTAAGCGAAAAGTGCTCCCCCCTAACAAAAGTTTGCTTTATGTATGTAGTTGATATATGTATATAGTTGACCAAAAATGTATTTCAATCATTTTAGAATAAAATACAATTATCATAAACATAGATGTGTCATTTTTCCTCAACATTGAAAAAATATATTGCTGACATTAATGAAATTCAGCATCTTTGATTTTAGTAAAAAGAAATTTTTTCATACTAATAATAATCAACATATAAGTCTAGTATAAAAGAACGTTTGTTTTTATCGATTGCAATTGAACAACTATATTAGAAACTCTTGCTTTAATGAAAATATTATACTCGATAATTCGATAATATACTACAAATCTTATCGAATTTTCATCAGCTGTAGTTTTGGAAAACTTCTTGATAGAAGATTGTTTAAAAATCCGTACAATTTATATTTAATATATAGTAAAATAAATTTTTAATTCTTAATTAATGTAATTCAATTAATTCTTATACAAGCTGTTACGTTTATTATCTATAATAGTAATCACTAATCACATATTATCTTGACAGTGAAAATTAATCGATATTTGAAAACTTTTATTGATAAACAGTACTTATAACATGTTTCTGTATGTGTGTTTAATATATTTTAATTATTTGGTAAATGTTAGATAGAGACGAAAAATCCTACATGGAACATTCATCGCTAATTATAGCTATAAATTTCGGTTTAAGCGCATAAAAACCCAATAAAATTATTGTTCTAAATACCAAAGATTGTGGCATAAAAAGTAAGAATTTTTATTGTTAGACATATAAATGCTGTGTAATGTTTTTATACATACATATGATACACAGCTTTACAGTAAGTGAAAGACTATATCCAGACCTTGAATGATAACAGTTTACTTTAAAATTATGTATTATTAAAACAAATATGGTATTGTTATGAGAACAGAAATCTCAGAAAATTTAAATGCAAAAGTTCAGAAACGATTCTTCGGAGTTTCATAAATAAGTATTTTTATTTAAGGCAATTTAAATTTGATTAAAAATTAATGTTAAAATTGACGTTTTCAGTCCATTACTTTAATTGCATCTTGAGTTTTTCTAATTATGAAACAGAGGAATATAGAAAATCAAATAATTTTCATTTTGCAACATATTTCCATTTCTATTTAACGTTTAACACTAATTACAATTGAAACTAGAATTTTCCATTTTCTACCGATTGAATTTGAAAAACCTAAAGCGTTTAATTTAAAATTCCTAACTTAATTACTCCACTAAAAGATACTCGATACTGTGTAATACCTTTAAGAGCATATTTAAAAGATTATAGAAATTATCCGAACAAGTCTTACAATATCTTGTCTAGGGTCAAAATGCATTAAATTGTAAATCAAGTTTATTTTTAGAGTTACTCTTTAGAATTAGCCCTCAACTGTGATGTTATAAGGTTACATAAGAATAGTTGTGAATTTCTCTTGTAACTTTTATTTCAAAATTTTTGAACTTCCAAATTTGGTTTTCAAAATTATTTCGTCATACATATATGAAATTCATAATAATTTTCGCTTACCACTAACTTCGTTCTTTTCCGTAATTACTTTTATAATATATTCTTAACTTTATGGTCTTAATGTCATCAAATTAAATTATTAATCGAAAAATTACGAAATAGTGTTGTTACTGCTGACTTTGAATTTAGGATTCAAAAATAATTATGATATCTAACAACTTGATAGCAGACTTTTTGGTAAAATCGAGTAAAAGATGATAAGGAAAATATTAAGTGAAAATTAAAAGTATTTAAGTGTAAAAACAGTTATTTAACAGCAACATATTAATTTATATACACACATATAAATATATCCAAAAATAAATTTACAAAAACATCAATAATGTTTAATACTTTAAAATTTAGTTTTATATTTCACTTATTATTATTACGAGGGATCCAATATCTCTCCAACGGGAGGATATTGGCGCGGTGATAGGTGTTTTAACTGGACACTGTCTGATTGGTGATCATGCCAGGAGGATGGGCCGCCCCGCAAACGATCTCTGTAGAAGCTGCTGTGACGAGGAGGAGGAGGAAACGGTGACCCACCTGCTATGCTGGTGTCCGGCGTTGGCGAACTCCAGGCGGAGGTTTCTTTGGTCCCACTTTTTTGAGCGGGCAACGGACCTAGCGAATATAAATGCTAGGGACCTTGGCCGGTTTCTGCGGAACTCGGGCTGGCTCTAGTAGGGAGACAGGGGGGGGGGGGGGTCCGACGGCATCACAATGGGCCTTAGTGGCCTAGGTGTACCCTTTGGGGGGCCGTGCAACCTAACCTAACCTATTATTATTAAATTCGCAGAATATTTTACATCTTGGGTGCAAATTTGTTACCGCATTATTTAATATAAATAACACTTTATAAATATTTGCACAATATGGCAAAAAAAATTTAGTTAATTAAAAAAATTAACAAATTTGACTTAAAATAAAATTGAAAAACCTTATATACCGTACTGAATACTTTTATTTCCACAGTATTTACTTTAAAATTTCATAAAAAAAATATAAAACCATCATTAATTTAACATGCATATTGTATAAGTACGCGCTATTTACAACGTTATGTTCTTCGGTATTAAAGGTAGTTCTTATTTACAAGGCATCATAGCGTCTACAATGTTTTGAATTTCTTCAAGGTCATTGTACTCATTGAAGTAAGTCATGAGAATGTTCACATTAACATATTCTCTATTGCATAATCATTCTGTTTTTCTCATTCCTTAGAAGAAAATTTTATGAATACTTATTTAAAAATTTAAAAAATCACCAATGGTGAAAAGAGAAATTTTTTGCAATAATATTACAAGCGTAATTTGCATAATAAATTTGTATAATTTTACTAAATTTGGTACTCTTTCATTTACTTCTTTAATATTGGAAGAACTAAAGACATTTTCATTACTAAGAATTATTTTTGCTTATTAATTTAATCGTAAATTATTAGCGTTTTAAGAAAGATTGATGTGTTTTAATAAAAATGGTATTGCAACTTGAACTAGCATTTAGATGATTCTAAAATGGAAATATCAATAAAAAAACTTTGTTAGTAAGCCACACTTATTTCAATAAACTTAAAAAAATAAAGCAGAAAATAATTTTAGCAGCAAAGGATTTTTTATTTTAGAATTGTACATTATACTGGTTTTAACGAGTTAAAGTTGGTAAGTGCCTAAAGTAGATTATTTAAAAGGATTTAATCGTCATTTTAACTATCAAAATTTTTGCATAATTGATTACAATTTGTGGAAGTAAATACTCAGGGGCACAGTAATATCAAGTGAATTAAAATATTGGCTATTTTCACAACTTCCGATTTGTAAATTAGACGAGAAAAATATCCAATTCATATTTTTTCTTACAAAATTTGTTGTATCAGTTTTTTTTAAATTTCAAATTTTAAAGCCTTTAATTTTGATTATTTTTGATTGTTTATCTTAAGCTCTAATAATACCATATAAAATTTTGCAGCAACATTCGAAGATGTTTTATATTTTATTTTTTTGACACAACTTTCAAAAAATATAGTCGTTTTTACACTATCTTGAGTAGTTCGAGCATTAAAAAACATTTTGGCGAAATATTTTTGAAACTATTTTGTGGAGTTTATTAAAATCTATATAAAAAGTGTTTCTTAAAAATAAAACAAAAATTGAACAAAAATGATAACTTACCTTTTAAGGACCTAAGCTATTCTTCTCTTCATTTCATGAATATTTACAAAAAACTTTTAAGAAAATTCATTCAAAATTAAATTCCAATTTTGATTACTTTGGAATTTTCCTTTTTTCCTTGAGTAACTTTGATAAAAAATTCGTTTTTTCAAAATTTTTTTCCTCAAAAAAGGTAAGACGAAAACAATAAAGCTGCAAATTGAATAACTTCAAAGAAATATTAAAAAAACACACACAAAAAAAAGAGAATTCTAAAAGATATTCCGAATTTCAAAAAAAGAGAACAAGGAATGAGAAAATTAAGAAAACAAACATTAAAACAAACACAAAAATTAAATATTTTTTGTTTTTAAATTCTACATGAAAAATCTTTACATTCAAGTTCTTTATCAACGCATTATCAAAATATAAAAATGAATGACTTCCTCTGATATTCATCCACCTTTTTGTAATTTATTTTGCTAAAAATTAATGTTAAAAAATTTTTCGTATTTTTAAATAATTTCTAATTAAATATTATATAACAACTTGTTGTATAATTAAAATTGCTTGAATTTTTCTTTACTGTAATAAATTCTTTTTACATAATCGCACCCAGCAAATTACAATTTTATTTTCACTTTAAATTAAATTTTTTATTATTTTAATTTTCCATTATTAAAAATGATTTCTTATATTTCAAAATTTATAATTTGGAAACGTTGACCCAAAATATTTACGAAAAAATTAATATTTTCGTAATGCACTTTGCAAATACGTCCAATATTTATGAAAGCGTTTTTAAACATCTTAACCGGTCGACAGTTAATATTTTACTAACAAAATTCTCTTTTCAATTAAAGAAAAATAAGAAATATTTTTATTTCACTTTTTTTCTCATTCAGCTTTGTTAATTTAAATTGAATTTATTAAAGGTTCATAAATATATTCGTATGTATATATGTATATTATATGTCTATACAAAATTATTATAACCATTCATTTATTAGCAAACAGAAAATCACTAAATAAAGTAGAATCATAATTTTATTAAACGATGATTTTCTTTTCTTATCGTTACTTTAAATGTAACACAAAAATTTTATATTTTTAGATATTAAAAATTAATTGTGTACTAATATTATATACCTACAGGGGCTTGGAATTCCGATAGAATTAATTTAAGTTCTTATAACCACTATAAATGCAAAGCTTTTAAAAGTCGTATAGAATTTAAACTATATTTTAGATTTATACATGAAAAATATTTAAAAATTTACTATTGAAATTAATTGACTCCAAAATTTTTTTTTCGTTTTTAATTACATTTTGAAACCGTTATAAATTCAATCAATTTAATCCTGTTAATATTTCGATAGGGAATTTTTCCGTTTAAACATCCGCTAAGAATGAAATCACTTTTAATACTAAAAATTGTTTTCAAAAATTCATGAATGATTTGAACTTTACATGTTACGCAAAAATTATATGAGTACCTACCAATTTTATCTTCCTTTATTTCTAAACACAAAAAATGATAACAGAAAAGTGTTCTACTGCTGTGCAGAAAATTTTGCTCTATATACATACATATATATATATACTTATATGTGTAGGAAAATATTCTTCTTACCTTTTTTCGTAAATTACAAATGTAAATAAATAATTTTACTTTGAGAATATGAGTACAAACTAACACCTATATCTACAGTATTTGTAGCTACATATATATATTTGTTGAAGTACATATTCTTATGAAAATTATGATATAAATGTATTCGTTTTTGTCCTTTTGACTTTTTGGAATTTTAATCTTGAAATTCTTTGTTTCACAAAAAGCAACATAAAGTGAGCCAATATCTTTTTGTTTTTCTTTATAACGTGCTTTTTAATCAATACTAAATGGGCACTTTTATATAATACTATGTAAATAAATAAGAATATGCAAAATACTTTATACAATATATATACTTAAATATGTAAAGAATCATTACTTTGTGCCATCTATTGCTTAAATATCCATTATAACCCAAATAATCGCTTATCACGCTAGTCAGTATATATGTGTACATTTAAACTTAAGTATATTTTCATTATTCGCAAATTTTTCCCTCAATTTTCAAAAAATTAACATCATTACATTTGTACAAGGTTATTATGTTTATATATATTTTAAGAAAACAATATTCTCACTTTTTATGCCCCCATATTCTTCCCTTTTTTTTACCCCAGAATCTCACTGCTTATTTTATAAATATATACTTATATTAAAATCTCTCAAATTTAGTTCTCTCACTAAAGTTTTCCATTAGATTTTCTCACCAAAAGTCCATCAGTCACCTACTTTTAATAGTAAACGAATGCTGATTACTGTTTATAGCAATCTTACGTATCGTTTTGAACTTGATAGCATTACGAGTACACTATTATGTTTTTTGAGGTTTCCTCTAAAATTCTTTGCAAATCCTGATTTTAAAGTTTACAGTTAAAGTTATTTAATAAATTAAATATCAAAATCACGACTTACTTCATCTTTTAAAATATGTAAGTCTGAATATTCTGTTCTTGCAAATAATACAAATGCCGAATGGCAGAAGTTTTTCTACTGTATTCTGTTATATGCAAATATTTTGATCTGTTATTTTAATTCCAAGCATGTACTGAAGCATGAAGGTGGCTTGCAAAGTCTTTGAGTTGAAGCTAAGAATTTAATATTTTATAATAAATTTACCTTAAAATAAGATACACAAAAAATTATAATATATAAGTATAACAAATTATTACGTTACGTTTCTTTTCATCTTTGAGACTCAGCTTCTATGAAACGAAAAATAAATACATTTTTAAGAATTGATTTTTGCTGATACACTTACGATTCATTTATAATTTTTTCAAGATTTTGCGCATATTTTTATCTCTCACATTTAACTCTCTTCAATATATGTATGGCACAAAGTTTATACATATGTACATAATATCATAAAAAAATGTTTGGTATATAATATTTACAAACTTCTATGATATTTTTTTTGAAATGCACACACAGAGTATCCTATGGCATACAAAACACGTGAACATTTAATTTCTCAATGGATAATAGATACACAACACATGATGTGGATGTTGAGAGCACCTACAATATGACTTATGCTATATTTATTAAATTTTTCGTATATAAATTTTCCCTTTTGGCAAAACAACAAAAATAACTTAAAATTAAATAAAGAAAATTGCAAATAAAAATCATTTATTGTTTTTTTACATTAAAAATACAGGACAAAATGTTGACTTATCTACCAAAATTATGCCCTATTCATACATTCGTATTATCCGCATTGATGTACACAATATGTTCGCAAACATCATTGTTGAAATATACATGTGTTTAGTATTACAGACAGTTTTTAATGTACAACATCCTTGTTGGAATCTTTAAGTCGATATTCATTATAAGGCGCAATATTTTTGTTCAAATTAATCTTTTAGAAGGAAAAATGATTTTGTTTATGTACACAATTTATATACAAACATATCCGTAGTTTACGTCCTGAAAAATTAGTTCATTGCATTGGAGGTGCATTTCCAAGATATATTTTTGCTAGTGTGTGGTCATTAAGGTTTATCTGCTAATCGATTCTATTATAAAATATTGTTACTTAGAATGGAATGCTCAGTATAGTTTTTAAGATGAACGAAGCAAAAAGTTATTACTTTACTAAAGCAATCAGTCAACATCTTTTTCAAAAGAATATTTTAAAGAAATACTAATACATTTTAATAAAACTAAATTTTTAGGATATTTGCAATTGATGAGTACTCCGAAAAGACACGTGCACATTGTTAATAAACTTCCTCTTTTGGAACTGAGACCATGAAAAACCATGCAGAACCAATTTATTTCATATATCATAGAATTCCGTTCCAGTCAAAACTAGAATTCCGTTTTGGAACCCAAAAATATGTTTGAATAAAAGTTTCTTCCAGGAAACTACGCTATCATTTGTTTTTGTTTTTAAAATTCATATGCAAAAAAAAAGCACAAAAATATTTCCCATCCTTTGTGTTGCCAACATTACCATAAGCTTAAATATCCGTTGTACGAATAAATATTAGTGTCTTAATTTTCGACAAATCTTTAATAATGAAATACAAGTAGCTTATCTCCAAAATTTGCATAAATGATTCTTTCCTCTCTAAATAAACAAACAAACAAACAATTTTGTAAAAGAATTCTAAATTTTGGTTGCGCTATAGGATATTCGGATAGGAATATTATTTTTGAGGCCTACATTGTCTTCTCCTACAAGCCTACATGGTTTCCAAAAATTTTAACTTGAACCAACAATTAATTTCATATAACTCTATTTAAAGCTTTCTCAAACACTTGTTACCACATATTAAAAAAAGTATTGGTTTCTAAAAATTATTTCTTGGGAAAATATTTCCAATGTGTTTGGAAAAAAAATTATTTTGCAAGGAAAACACAAATCTCATATTACCAATTTATACTTAAAACTAACTACGTAGGAAGAACTTCTTTCACGATTTCTCATTTTGCTCCATGTTTTCATATTTTTTTAACATATGTAATATCATTCTTAAATTTTTATTTTATATATAAGAATTTAGATTTTCAAGTAGATGTTGGCAAATTTTAATTTAAATTTCCAAAATTTAAAGATTTTCTATAATAAAACCAAACTAAAAGGTTGGGAATAACACGTTCAAATGACACAATACTAATATGTTTTTGAATCCAGTATAATATAATTTAAGATTTATGTTTTTTATATACTCGATTCTTTAGAATAAATTCTCTATATGGAATTTCGATCCGTTAAATACACGTATTTTATGTGAAATGAAAATTTTTACTTTTCAAATTTCAAAAATACTTACTTCATGTGTAAATTATATTTCGTCAAAAAAAGTTGTAACTGTACTTGACTCCGAATCTGCAAATATCGAATTCAAATTCGATACAATAGCAATTCAAAAATATCGAAATGAATTGGAATTATTTTTATCCAAATTCGATTAAATTATAGACTTACACAATAAAACTTAGTTTGGGGCCGCTTGCCAAAGTTATACAATTATATTATGTAAGTTCTCGTCTTATACAGAATTTGCAACAAAATTTACAACAGAATTTTGTCAAAAATTTAAAACTAGCCGATTCAAAGAAAATTTAAATTTTTTACCATTTAAATATGCACATACATACATAAATATAATATGTAATATGAACACATATTTGATCAGTAAAACTTCATTTCCATTATACCAATCGCGATTTTAACATTTACCTACAAAATTATTCTTATATAAAATAATTAATTTAAAATATGTTTTCATAGTAATTGATATGAAATAATTTTGTTGATATTAGGAAAATTTTGTTGTTAAAGTTTTAAGGATATTTTTATTTCAATATAAAAAAAACAATTACAATTATTGCTATACAAATGCACGCAAATTTCTAATAAAAATTCAATATAGACACAATATGTAGGCTGGCTGTAACTTGACATTATTTTTGCGTTATATTTTTAATAATAAAGTCAATATTAATTTAATAGCTTCGAATTTTATTTCGTTATTAATTACCAAATTCATTTTGTTTTTGTTTTTCTCAAAAATATTTCAATTAATTCATACAAGAATTTTATTTGATATTTGAAATTTATAGGCCAGGGAAACTAATATAAATTATATTCCACCATTTTGTATATTTTTTTAATTTTTAATAATAAAAATGTCTATATCGAGTAAACATTTCAAGAAATTTCTAATCAATTATCAAGTTTTTCCACACAATGCTTTCATTTCATGCACATTAAAAGAGTAGGAAAGCATCATTAGAACTTACCAGTATTAAGAATAGTAGTTTGTATTTGGAACATTTTTATGCATATACAAATCTATTTATATAGAAATTCAATCATCAATGATTTGGTATTACTTTTTAATTTCTGCAGTTGAATTAAGATTGTATAGTATTCTAAACACCTTAGGTTTACCAAAAAACATTAGCCTAAAAAGCGGTAAGTAGCTGATAGCAGTGGCTTTCTTATATAGAAAATGATTGCAATTCATTTATTCACACGCCTCATTTATAAACAAATTGCTATTGTACTTTTTTAAAGGACATAGGCGTGTTAATAGTTAGGAGTTATATAAAATATTACAAAAAGCAAAAACGTTTGAAATAATATCGACATTTTCAAGGTGATGGAAAGCATAAATTAAAATGTCAAAATTTTTCTCAAAAAAATAGGTTAATGACTCAGCGTTTCTTAACATTTTTGGTGAAATAGATACCTTTCAAATTATTTCAAAGATACGGAGCCCGTTCAATTTGTATAAAAAAAAATTTAATGAAATTTCAGATATAATAAGATACTTTAAGAATTCACATAGCATTAATGTTAATTTGAAGACTATTGCTGTTCTTTGCTAATTATTTGTGGTTCAGTTTTAGATAAAGTAATGAGCATATCAAGTTGGACATCTAACTTTGGTTGTGTTGTTCTTATTGTTACTATAGACAATTTATTGTTTCTATAGTTTTGGTGAAAGAGCAAATTTCACTCACAACGGAAAGATATTTAAAAGAGAAATTTTAAAAATAAATCGCCACACTTTTAACAGTGAAGAATGTTAAAAATTTTTAAGAAAAGAAATGTTATGTCCAGTTTTTATTTTTGTTAGTTAAAAAAAATTTATGTTTTATAAAGGGTACTAAAATATTACATTTAGTATATAGACTTTAAAAAAGCAATTACTGAACTAAAGAGACTTTTATTTGCTTTCGACTGGTGTGGCGTTATAAAAATAAAATGGTGCAAAATTAAAAACATTGCAAAAAGCTGATTCAAATAAAGAACTTACAATTTCAACTCAAGAAACCCTAGGGCAAATTGACGTAGGCTCTTTCGTTTACAATAAATAAAGGTCATAGTCAAAACTTTTACTTTAGGACTGTGGAAAAAATTAAATACTTCAAATAGTCTGAATCAGCAAAAAAAATTGGAAAAACAAAATTTTTTTGTGTCATACAATAATGTTTGTAACAATGACTAAAGCTTCTTGGAAAAAATTTCTTAATTCATTAGAATCTCCAAGCTACACATTTCATGAAGGGAAAATAAATTTGAAATTATTAACAAATAATTTTATTTACGAAAAATTAGACTATAAAAGACAAGCAAAAATTTACTGATATATTGGTGGTACCAACTTGATCATTTTGTGTCAATTTTTCACGAGCCAAATACATACATACATATGGGAACTATAATAAAAAACATTCAGAAAATGGGGACAGTAATTGTGTACTAGCCACACCATTTACATATAAAAACACTTTACAAAATCGATGAGTAATCATTTATCTATGTAGGACATTATTACAATGTCCTTGAAAATTGTTCTATTTCTTTTGGAATTTCCTGTAATTATTTAATAATTGTAAGAAATTGTTTAATAAATAAATTAAGTTTTATTTTGCAAAACGGTTGAATTGAATACTATATCATGCCGTTATATGTATAAAAAATAATTTAATTGTTTTGTATTCACTTTACTCTTACTCAACACCTATCAATAGAGTTAAACCTCTTGAAGAGAAATAAATTAAAACCTCCACCAAATATCCAAAACTTACACCTTATTAGCGCAAGCTATTTACTTTTATTAAATACTGGCAAATTCTTTTGTTTGATATTCTACATGAAACTTCTATTCCTGCGAGATCCCGGACGAAATTTTAATTTCCTTGAACTGCAGACATGAATTTTGTCAAAATTGTAAAAGCGTAGATTTTTATACCCGAAAATCTCCATTAAATTAAGATATTGTAGTGATATTTATGTGTTCAGTGAGGTTGACTCCACCATGTACTTATGATTCTTTAGTTCATAAAATAAAGAAAAGCTTAAATTTCCGCGGCTACTTTTAAATTTACGATAAAACAGTATTTACATATTTGAATAGCTTTTTTTCTTTAGTTCGGCAAAACATACTACATACTTATCTCTTGTATTTATATTTACCCAAAATCAGTTTTTTAGGGTTTTGAAGCATTTAAATTTTATTTGTATTTAATATATGTATGAACATATGTATTTTTCATTCCAATCTTTTATTTGACCCTAATTGGTTGACCTTTATAACTTCATTGGTTTAAGATGAATAAGCTTTTGGCCAAAATTGGCAGAACAAAAATTTTTTGTAACTTCATCAGCTAGAACTTCTCAAAATAAGAAACCATTATCTGAAATAACCCATTCATTACGAAAATTTAGAAGCAAGAAAAAACAAGCTGATTCTGGCAGCACACCCGACCGGATTTCTATGGTATTTCATAAAATTATGAAAATTTCCATTAAATATTTACTTCAAATTTTATAAAAAATAGAAAGTAAATTTTAGTTAATGTGTCCAGAAAAATGTAAATTTGATTCTAAGCAGAGGTTTATCTTTTGTGATCTAATTTCGCTGGTGAATTTTCTCCGCTAATTATTTTAAAAACTAGAATCCAAATAATACGAGTACATTTCAGAAAATTTCGTTAATCAGTTCCTAATGTACATATGATTAAATATGAAAATTCGGTCCGTATACTGAAAATTCTATTTTCGAGCCGTGAAACTCGCGAAAAATTAACTACATACTTCATTGTTTTAATGTCCAAATTTTAAATATAAAATTTCAAATTGGTTAATTATTTCTCCGTATATAAGTAAAAATGTAAATTCGGTCCATAGTAAAAATCAATTTGCTGATACATGATTTTCTTATAAAAAGTTAGGTGAATTATTGTCAGGCGAAACTAATATGTTACATAAAATTTCAGAACAATCCACTGATTATTTTCTAAAAAATAGTCAAGAACGTAAAATTGTCTCAGAATTGGTAAAGATCCAGTTCCAGAGAACTGACATATTCTAAAATTTGATCAAACCTTCTCATCTTTAAAAGAAACTCAGATATAAATTAACTTAAAAATCGCTTTAGCTGAATTTGAGATATTGATTTGCACAAACATAATGACAGACAATCTGACAGACATCTCTCTAAAAATAATTTGTTTGCGTTTCCCTAGTATGAAGAAATTCGATTCCATCAAAAACTCGACATGCGAAATTTCGTGCTATCACAAAACCTCTCCCATTTTATGCACGGCAGTCGCTAAAAATTTCGGAGGAAAAGGTTTGAAATTTTACAGCGAAGGATCAATTATATGTTGATACGGATATTATCAATTACATAATTTTTAATTGGTCAATTCAATACGAACCTTATTTTTTGTAATGTATTTTAAAAATTAGGTAATTGTAATGATATCAGTAGAATTTAACTTAAAACTCACTGTAGATCTCTAATTTTTTCCTAAATATTTTTTTCATTTTTTCTAAGATATGTATGTAAAAGAGTTACAAGTGCCATCTGTTAGGAATTTTTATTATTACCTAATGGATATAGATGTTTAAGAAAAGATTTATTTTGTATTACATCCGCTAGATGTCAATTAATTTGAAACACATTATATTGAAACATATAGGAATTTTTACAACACTGGCAACTTTATTATATTCTGTCAGATTAAAAAAAGCAAAATTAAAACAGAAATTGTCATATGTCATTTAAAAATTTTGACATTTCATTTTCATATATTGGTTGATATATTTATGTTTTTTGTGTTAATCTAAAATTTGCCGACTAATTTCACGATATTTTGTTGAATTTACATTAAAATTTAAAATAAATTTTACTCAAGATAAACAAAATTATTTATTCTGAATTAAAGGGAAAGAAAAAATGGCATTATCAGGAGAAATAGTAAGTTGAAGTGGATTTTTAAATTGTGAAAACGTAAAAATATCCTGAATAAATGTGGAGGTTAGAAGTAAACTTTGCTTTGATTTTGTTTTCGGCGAGTTTAGTACATAACATAAAAACAACAAAATAGTGTACTTATATACAAAAAAAATATAACTAATTTCAGCTGATTGGAAGATTGTGAATTTTATTGAAATATTTTTCCCAATTTGTTCTCAATACAACAAATTTTATATTCCTTCGTCACAAGAAGTTATTTTTAAAAAGAATGACGATACAAAATTTTTAAAAATTTGTAATGGTTATATTGGACCGAACCCAACAAAAATTTTAATTCTCAAAATTAAAAAAATGCCGGTCAGTACATAATCAGATTTATAGATAAACAGTAGTTTTTCGCAATATGTTTTCATTATGATAATATTGGGTTGATAGATTTAACGAAATTTAAAACGAAACACTAAAAGGTCCCGACAAATCATCTTACTTAATAATATTATGAAAAATATCCAAATTGTTTCAATAACATTGTTTATACTAAGGTCAATGCCCCGATAATAGTATACCGACTTGGTGCGGTTGTAATTTGTTATATACATAAGTAAGTACATATTTATTTACTTCATTTTCTGCATAAATATACTCATGTATCCATCTGTATTTCTGTAGATACTTTTATATAAGGAATTATAGCTATATGACCTTGTTTAAATGTACACTTATATGCGATAATATAAAAACAAAATTTAATATTTTTGTTAGTATTTTCTGTACCTATCTTATTAAGATTAAAGGGCTGAATAAAAAAATGAACGTAAAACCTAGCTACATATCTAACGTAACTAATATAAAAACAAAAATACGGAAAAGGCGTAAGTCCTTGTTGAAAGAAGTGAATGAACTTTTTAAATATTTAAAATAATTTATTTAAAAATGACTTTTTAGTTTAGAAAATTTTTAAAAATTTTGTAAATAATAATAGTCTTTTGCATCAACAACAAACGATGAAATATCTAAACATTTACAACTTTCACTTTTTATCATCCTTCAGTTATATTTATAAAATTCTATTATTCCAATAAATGACAAAGTATTTTGGATTACCTACATTAGTTTTATTACAGTATTGCTATCTACTTAGATACCTATTTATAGTTATTAATATATATATATAATTATTTAAAATTTTAAATAGCAGAATGCACTTGAAATAAAAAAATATTTCTATCCGTTTTTAAAACAGTATGACGGCAATGTTCGTTTGGTGCATATATTTAGTCAATCGTTAAATTTAATATAAAATGTCTCTGATAGCAATTGAGACACTCTTTTATAAAAGACGCAACGTTGTTTATTCTTTTGTGCGACATCGTCTTTACGCGATACTTAAAAGTTACAATTCTGTAAGTTTAATTGCTTAATGCGTTTTAAATTTTTTAACCATAAGTTTATAAGATCCCATACAAAAAACTTTAACTTCTTGAAGCAACAATTCCTAATTATATTTTGGTTATAATTAATTCAATTTACAAAATTCAAATCTAGTTACATTGTGATAATTATTTTAAATGCCAGAAATTAAAAAAATAATTAAAATCATACCTACCTTAAAAGTTTTTTTTTCAAGATTTTGAATTCTTTAGTAAATAAGAGGTGAATAATTTTCAATTTGAAAATTGAGTACAACAAAACTAAAATAAACAAAACAAAAAAACAAAAAAACTTGAATTTGAACAAAATACAACAAAACTAAAATAAAGTACTTTCATTGCCAAAATTTAGGAAGTGGGTACCTACAATCTCTTGAAAGAAAATTTTCATTAACAATAAATATTTTAGTCTATTTTTAAATTTCGTTCTAAATTAAATGATTATTCAGTAAAACAGGAACAAAACAATTTTTAGTTGGTTTATTAATTACATAGAAAATTGATATTTGAAGTTTGGATACTTGTTTCGTACGAATTATGCAGAAAAAAGTTATAAAAGATAGTGGTGTTAAAAAAAATACTTCAAGCATATCGAATCATTTGAAGCCCTCAAAAAATTTATCAAAATCAAACATATCAAGCTCATCTATTTTAAATAAAAAAAAATTTAAATTGCAGACCCTTCGCATACAATCGCCTGATGGCATGAAACGTATTGATATACCATCGACCGCATCTTTGAAGGAACTTTATGAAGAAGTCCATAGATCATTAAAATTAAAAGATTTTGATTTTGCAATTTTTAAAGAGAGAAATTTCACCAAAGAGGTAAAATTTAAACAAAGTTATATTTGTTGAATTATATTAATGACTGGCCATTTTAGTTGATTTCCACGCGTTCACAAACTATAGAAGGTAATGGCTTGCAACATGGAGATATTATTTACTTCAAGATAATGTCGGGAACATCCTCTGCAAGAGTAAAATATATTTTTATTCTATAATCAATATTATTTTAAAATAATACTCACATATGCTTTACAGAGAACAAGTATTCAGGCAGTAGATAAATTTAGTAAAGATTTTGGCCAAACAGCTTCGCAAAGTGCAAATCAGGATAATGCAAGCTCTTCAGATTTTCGTCAATCAATTTCTAAAAATCAAGATTTAAAAGAAGATGAAGTGGACATTATTTTGGCAAAAACTGATGGACGCATCCAGCGTGGTAGAGACAGTAAACTGTAAATTTTTATTTTTTGACTTTTGAAAGTTTTTGAATCTGAACTATTTGATAAAAACAACATTTTTTTCTTACGTCGCTCTTATTTGCCGATTGTAGCATAATTTCTATGGTTAACTTACTAAAAAAATAACTATTGAAACATGTTCACTCTTTCTGACTATTTTTTTAAAAAAAATTAATTTTCATGAGAAATAGAACTTCAGTTAACTTTCTGATGTGTCATTATTAATGTGATTATTGACATAACCCGATTTGCAATTAAAAAATATGTGTCTGATTCTAGTGAAAAAGTAAATCATGTTGTTTTTACCAAATGTTTGAAACATTTATTTAAAGGTGTCAGTAATTAATTTTTATATATTTTTAGCTGCCGCCACAATATAAACGGTTGTTGTGTCCATTGTTCTGCAATTGATCCGTACGATGAATCATATTTAAATGAACAAAAAATTAAACATTTATCATTTAATTCATACTTACGAAAACAAACATCTGGTGTTGATCGCGGAAAATTCGTTCCATTTGAAGAAATTAATTGCCGAATAAAGCCAGGTTGTCGTGAACATTTGCCGTGGCCAAAAGGTATTTGTTCAAAATGTCAACCGTCAGCTATTACATTAAATCGGCAGATATATCGCCATGTTGACAATGTGATGTTTGAGAATACAGCATTAGTTGAACGTTTTCTAAATTACTGGCGTACAACTGGTCACCAGAGAATGGGATTTTTATATGGAACATATGAACAACACTCGGATGTTCCATTAGGTATTAGAGCAAGAGTTGCTGCAATTTATGAACCTCCCCAAGAAAGTTCAAGAGATTCAATAAAATTATTGGACGATGAACATGAATCTGAAGTAGATGAAGTTGCACGTGCCTTAGGGTTGAAACGTGTCGGTTGGATATTCACTGATTTAATAAGTGAAGATGCGGCAGCCGGTACTGTAAAACAAATACGTGGCATTGAAACACATTTTTTAACAGCACAGGAATGCATTATGGCTGGTAATTTACAAAATAAAAATCCCAATCCATGTCGTTATGCATCGAGTGGTGTTTTCGGTTCAAAATTTGTAACTGTTTGTGTAACTGGTAAGAATAGTTTTTAACCATACTCTTATGAATTTGAGATAATGTTCATTCAATTTTAGGTGATAAAACTAAACAAGTTCATATGGAAGGTTATGCTGTGTCTGCTCAATGCATGGCATTAGTAAGAGATGATTGTTTGATCCCAACAAAGGATGCTCCAGAATTGGGATATATTCGAGAATCATCGGAAACTCAATATGTACCGGACGTTTATTATAAGGTTAGTGTCTTGATTTTATCAAAATGGTTTATAATGATGTAGGAATGCGAACAATATCAGCCATATTCTTTTTTCTGTCCTTTTTATATATGTTCTATAAAGAGTTTGGTACTATTTTTGGGTTTAATATTTTCAAAATTCGAACGTACTTATTTGGACCAATAAGTGATCAAAATATTTTGTTTTGCTCATATGAGCTAGATAATTTCGTTAGATAATAGCATAATTTCGTTGTCAAAATACATTATTTTAGCAATTGTAATACAATAATAAATTCAAATACCATGAACTTGGTCTTATGAATGTTTCATACCCGCTAAGATAATAAATAGGCCAAATGAACAATTCTTATTAGCACATTTCTAAAAATTTGGAAATGCAGTAAAATTGCAACTTAGGCAATAATTGAAATAACGAAATTGAAGTTGAAATTAACCACTATTTTAAAACCCATTTTTTTTATTTTTTTTTCCATCGTTAAAAATGAATGAGTTCAACAACTTGCAGTATTATTTAATAAAATGGTTATATTGAGTTCTTTAATTTTAATTCTCCCTTTAAGGGCATATAATAGACTTATTGCCTGATATAAATGATATTGCCTGGCTATCAATCCGAAATATTTATGCAGACTATTGATTTTAAAATTTATGCAGACTATTGATTTTAAAATAAAATTATTTTCACTAGTTAAAAGTATTGGTACTAGTTAAGTACTTCTTGGACCATTTGTTTGGTCTGAATTCATTTAAGCATAGTGTTCTCTTAAAATCCTCTTTCTAATACCACAATATTAATATTACAAGCCATTCAGAAAATCAGATATGTGTATAGCACAAAAATGAAGTAGGAGATGTATGGAGACTACTCCATGTATGGAGCAAAACCTATTCCTTCTACTTCTCATCAGGGTTTTAAATCAATTAATTGATTCGAATAAAGTTTATAATGTAGCATACATATATAAATTAAAATGCTATATGCTTAAAAATTAGAGGTACGAAAATTTTAATAAAGTTTTTGATTTGCAATCAGTGCTATTATCAGGTTCACAATTGAGTGTTCAAAAAATTTCGGTATTAAAAAAAATTAAAAACTTTCTCAACTTTTTTTTCATTTCTTTTGATGAACTTTTTTCTTTTTTTTTAAACATTTACATTTATCTTTATTTATTTTAATATATATATATATATGTTTTTGTTTGAATATACACAATAGGACATTGTAAGTTATCTCCTTTTTATTTGAAAATATCTATTTTATCATTTTAAATCATTGTGTATGCGTACACTGTGATAATTTATTTTCATTTTATTATTATGTCTAAACGAGTTTTAATATATGTATTTATAATTTAAATTTGTTTCTTTATTTTTTAAAGAAAACTTAAAAAGTTTATCGAATGTTTTTAAGTTTCTTCGAAAATTGATTTTAATAAATAAATGTTTGTATTTTTTTATTTGATTTTTTTTTAATTTTACATTTTAATATTATAATATTTCGATTTGTAATTTTCGTTTTAAATTCTTTTTGAATGTACAACATAATACATAAATATTTTGTATCTATATGTACGTAATATAATATGATTTATCCTAATAACTACTTATTTATTTATATATACTTTTCCATTTTTTAGTATCAGGTTATTTTACTTTTTTTTTTGTATTTAATTATTTTTATATAACTATTAACACATTGATTTCACATTAAACAGTTCTGAAATTTCAATAAGTTTATTATATGTATAATAACTTTTAATCGATTTATATTTAAAAAAAAAGTCAATTGTTATTATAATTTACAGAATTCGTAAGTTAGAAAAGATTGTATTTTTGCAATTTTTTTTAAAGTGATTCGGAATATCCAAAGAGAGACTAAGAAGATTTTTTGCAACTTTTGGTTAATATTTTCAATAACAAAACAATTCTGTGCAAATTTTATTCAAGAAGTAATAAATAATTGGATTTAGTTTTTCTTTTTATGTGCATGCGATTTCAACATTTCATTTTGTATGCGCAATATTCAAAATATTGAAATATATTCATTGAAAAATAATTTTTTATTGATGTGAAATATCAAACAAAAAACTATAATACTTTTTTATAGATTTAGAGCAATAATGTATCTACTGCTAATCTTAGTAACCAAATATGACAGTTTATTTTATTTTTACAAAATTTAATTATTAAAATTTATTACAAATTTATTTAGGCAATTTAGCATATCGTAATTGGATTAAACTTTAAAAGAATAACTTTTTGAAATAAAAATCACCTGTCCAATTATATGCAATATATTTAATTCACCACTATTCATTGACATCATTAGAATTTATAACCAAATTTAATAAGCTATAGAGAAATTCAGAGGTAGACTTATTCATTAATATTTTCTTTATTGTTACACAAAGAGAAAAGTAATTTAATGGTTGGTATTTGAAACCATGAAAGGTTTAACTTTCTATTAATTAGAAAGATAAATAATAAAATTCTTATTATTAAAATATTACAAACTTTAAAATTTTATTGATACACCTTGATAAAATTTACACAGGATTTATGATCATTTCAGTAGTATTCGAATGTAACGCATACATATATATTAGATTTTGATTAGATTTCAATTATTTTTTGAATAAATATAGTAAGATAAAAAAGTGTTTAAAACCGTTTTATTTCAATAACAGACTTTATTTCTATAGACGATCACAAACTTTTTGGATGAGTATTAGTTTAAATGTTTACATAGTATCTATAAGTTTATATTTTTTAAATGTTTTATTTCTTTCAAAAAAATTGTATTTGGTTGATTTAATAATTTTGATAAATTTTTGAGATTTCTCAAATAAATTTTCAAAAATTTTAAAGTTCTTTTGGTAGAGATAAAATTTTTCGTTAAATTTTTGTACAAAATTAAAATAAAAAATTATCAAACACGTTTTATTCCAAAATAACAATAAAAATTTTCAAAAAAAACGTATAACATACATTTCTCAATTTTACTCAAATATCATCCCTTAACTGAAATGAAAATTTTTCTAGGACTTTTCAGCAATATACTCGTATTGCTTTTCAATTTGAACCGAGTTAAAGGCTAATCGTAGAGAAGAAATAAAAAAACTTTTAATCTTGGTATTTGATTTAAGTTTTAGTTTAAGCAAAACTGAAATTAATTGCAATACCTACATGTTAATGGTCTTGAAAATATTTTCTCGAGTTCTTGAAAATATAAAAATTATGGAACAATGTTGGGATTTATTGTTTTATAAAAAGGACTTGAAATCATTGAAGAAAATTTTTATCACTCCATTTAAGAACATTTTAAAATTTAGTTACCTGTGTTTTTATACATACATATGTAAGTTTCCAAACATAAAATTGACATAATTTGTAATTATAAAGTTTTCGCCGTTTTTTCATTTCCAATGTTTTTCATATGTATGTATATAATTTGCAACTGGTACAATTTTTTGCTCAAGTATATCTTGCATTTAAAAAATTAAATTCAAATCAAATTTTTCAATTTCATTCTGTATTAAAATTTTTTTAGTTTTTTATTTTTTATAAGATTGTTTTTAAAGCTTTTGTTTTCCTTAAATTTCTTTCACAATTCAATTGAAGTAAAATAAAAGGAAATTCATATTATTTCTTGGGACAATTTTTTAATTACTAAAATTGAATTTTATTAAAATAAAATTATTTTCAAGATTAATTGTTCATGTATGTAAATTTAGTGTCTTAAAGAGTTAATTATATGTTATAAGTAATCCAATTTACATGTGTTCCTGTTTTATATGAAAATTTTAATCATAATTTTTGTAAATTTGTACCGCAATATCTGGGCTCTGGGATTGTCTTTCATTTCGACTTTTAACTGAAATTTTTAATTTCTAAGTGTTAAACGAATTAATGATTAAAAATTGTTTTCAATTACAATTGTTCAAAAACTTTGATTACGTGCTTAATTATTATCACATAATAAATTCAATAATTAAATTTCAAAATTTGAAAAATTCTATCGGTATCCGTTTCGTCCAAAAAGAAAAGTATTTTAGTTTTACTTCGATTAAATAAGTTTATTATATGTATATATAGATTTAAATAATTTTTTTTTGTATCCGTTTTCTAATTTTCTTTTAAGTTGGCTATAAGAGGAAGAAAAATTTATTATTACAAAAGTATAAAATATTTTATAAGTTTCATCCATTTAAATATTTGAATTTAATTCTTACCGAGGATTTTTTAAAGTCACTAATGATTTTTCTTTAAATTTGAAAATTTTTTAAGTAAAGTATTAGTCTTACATAACTTCACAATTTGTCATACAATTTAATAATTAAATAATTAAAGTTATTATTATTTTTCACAATTGAAAGTTAAATAAAAATTGTAACTTTAATTTTATTCCGATATTAACTTTTTTAAATTCTTTTGAATTAAAATGAAAGAATTCTATATTACAGTGTAAAATTTTGAATTAGAATTCTAAATTTTCAAATTCAGAATTTTACACTAAAGTAAAAGTAGGTTAAAGTAAAGTCGATATTTTGGGTTATCAATAATTAAATTGTAATTTGTTAAAAAAGATAAGTAAGTATTAATGTAAAACATAAATGTAGATGGTATTAAAAGTATTGAAACAAAAACATAGTTCAATTGTTACAAAGCATGAAATATTGTAAGGCTATATTTTACTATAAAGTGACAAATTATTTCATTTCAATTTTTATTAAAATTTTTCTTAATTTGGGAAAATCTTTTGTTGTTTTATTTTGTTGACTTTTTAAATTTAAATTATCACGAAGTAATTATTACTACTTACTACTTTTTTATTCGTTCAGTACTTCCTATAAAATTTTGTACAAAGATTTACTAATTGGAAATTCGTAAAAAAAATTTTTTTTTTATTTTCTTAGTTTTCTATTTTTATTCTCATTAAATATTGGCCCAGATTATCCTTGTATATCCCAATAAAATAGAGGAGAAAGCAATAAACGT